TAATTTAATTTTAAAAATTGGAAACAGATACAAATATATTCGATATACGACTGATGTCCGACGGATGCGGATACAGTTGATTTTCAATACCCGTCAAGGTCCGTATCCGAATTTGATATCCGACAAAAATAAATGGATACGGATTTGGTAATGGCACATCCGATCCGATAAATATCCATTAACACCCCTAATTGGAGGGGTGCGTAAGGGACGAGACGGGCCGGGCTAGGGGGGTTTACGGGGGTTAGGAGGTAAGAACCATCAGTTATACGAACGAGACACCATACGTGCCCGATGTCGTATAAGATTATAACTAGTTTCATATTTACAAAGCCCAAGGGCCAGTTTGGTGTTTTAGAGATATGATATGAGTTTTGAAATATAAGAAAATGATATGCGTTACGAAATTCAAAGTTGTTTGGAGATATTTGACATTACAATATACTTACACTATGTTTAGTTCAAGGAATTTGGAAAGAAAAGAAAAGAATATGAGTTAGTTTCTCTCATTTACTTCACCAAAATGAGAGGAATTTGGTTTTTTCCTCTTAATAATATGTATTCTCATTTTCTTTTCTTTCTTTTTTTTCTTCCTGACCAAATAAGAAAAATTATTTTCCATCTCATTTTCTTTTCTTTTTTCTTTCAAATTCCTTGAACCAAACATAGTGTTAGTGACAAGTGAGGGTAAATGACAACGAAGGTGGTTGGAAGATTTAAAATTTGATATGAATTTAGGATTCACCGAACACTAAAAATGGTGCTAATATCTGGAGATATTAGAATTCATATTGCTTAAAGTTTTGGTTAAGTTTCGCAATTTCCTGTGGTTCTTTTGACATTGAATTTTTTTAAGGTTGAAAATCAGTCTTGTCCCAAATTATTCAATTGGTTTTCTTTTTAGCTCAAAAATGTACCATGTATATACGATTGAAAAAAACATTCAATTGGTTTTCTTTATTGAATTAATCTGACGGTCACCAAAATTCAAACGGCGACAAAATTCACAAATAATATTTGTCTGCAATAAATATTTAATAAGAATAATATTAAAAATAAATTTAAATAATTTTTTTAAAGTTCTAATTTTTTTGAGGGTCTTGGTGACGGGATTCATCTTTGTTTTGAAAGAACCATATAATTGCCAGAACCTCTTTATTGAATTAAACAGAGGGTCCCCAAAATTTATAGACAAAATTTGTCTGTAATAAACATTTCTTGTATGGGACCCTCTAAAACGAATTGTTCTTTGAAGGACCTAAAGTTTACATTATTTTTTGTGAAACTTCTCATATTAGAAGTTTTTTTTTGTAAAATAAAATGTTTATCAAAATAATAAGCATTTGCTTCTCTTTTTCATATGAAGGTTCACCTAAAATGATATGGACGTTAGGTCTCCCTTTCTGAGCATTTTTTCAAATTTGACTTTTTTGTAGTTAATCATTTTCAGTTTTTGATCGATAATTAAATAAAATATATATGATATATTAATTAGATAACATTATATTTTGAAAGTACTTTTATTAAATAAATCTAATAAAATTATTTTTGTATCAACTTTTATTAAATAAATCTAATAAAATTATTTTTGTACTTTTAATAAATAAATCTAAATAAATCTATAGTTTGGTAAATGTGCACCGTTACTCTCCAAAGTTTCGAACTTATACAATTGTCCCTCGTGGTTCTGATATTGCTACGTCAATACCCCTCTACACTAAAATATCCTTTAAATATGAGATTAATTGCTCCACTGCCCCCTATGGTTTTGGAATAGGCACCGATGATCACTCTTTTTTTCTTTATTTTTTTCTTTTCTAGTATTTTTTTCATAAATGTTACTTAATTCATTTTTTGAATTTTTTTATAATGTTTTAATAATCAAAATATTTCGTGTTTGTAATAAAAAATCAATTAAAAAAAGAATCAACGTACACTTCACTTGTCTCAAATTAAACATTTTCATTTTTGTCTAAAAGAGATCTTTATTAGTTCATTTTCATGATACAAAAATCAATGAAAGATTCTCTTTTTACCCTAAACCTCATTTTTCATTTCCTGTTCATTAATTTTATACCGTTTCTTTTATTTTGATCAAAATTAAAATAAAAGAAAAAAGAATAGAGAGAAAAAGAAGATAAGAAAAAAATATGAGTAAATTCTATAATTGGTCCTTTATAACAGAGAGGTTTCCGTATTTAGTCCTCTATTATCAAATATTACCCAAGTGGTCCTTCTTTCATGGGTACCTTTCCACAAATAGTCCTTTTTTTGATCTTCTATCATGTTGGTGTTAATTTGAGGGCTAAAAGTGTAATTTCACAATGATAATATATCTTTTTTGTCATAAACAATTCCAAAGGCTGTTCCGTTTGCGTCGTTTGTGAATTACAGTCGCTTTTTATGACAACTATAGTCTACAAATGTGATCTTTTGTCAGAATCCTAGCCCACAATCATAGTTATTATTTTTGTGTTATCCGCTTAACTAATATCAGAACACGTCACTAGACATAATGTTGACGTCAAATTATACTTTTAGCCTTTAAATTAACACCAACACGATAGAAGATAAAAAAAAGGACCATTTGTGGAAAGGTACCCTTAAAAAAAGGACTACGGGGGTAATATTTGATAATAGAGGACTAAATATGGAAACCCCCTGTTATAAAGGACCAATTATGGAATTTACTCAAAAAATATTTTGATAGAATATGGAAAATAATGTCATGAAGGAAATCTCTTGTGCAACGGTCTAGAAAATGTGTGTGTGTGTGACTGTGTGTGTATGTATATATATAAAAGACGTTACTCAATATTCTTTTGGTAGCGACTAATTCAAAAAAATAAAGACTTTTTTAGACAAATATTGGAAGTATTTAATTTGAAAATGAAGTAGTACTCCGTCCATTCCAATTTAAATTGCCTGTTTCGGTTTACGGTGTTTGATTGATATTTTTTTACAAATGATTATATATGAAACATGGTGTAATATTAAAAATAAAAATTACATATTTGAAAACTACATCAAACGATTTATAAAACTAGTGATGCCATGATTATATTATTTTATCAAATAACTAATGAGAATAAGAAAAGAAAGTGAATAAAATTTAACTCTGTAAATAGTAAATAGAAAATGTAATTTGGGACGGAGCTGAGGGAGTATATGTTTTTTTTTATTTCAAAAACAAAAATTTTTTATTTTCTAAAACTTTTTTAAAAATATAATTTTGAAAAACAACTTTTCATAATTTCAAACAAAAAAATTTTCTTCTCTTTACGAGAAAAAAAATAATAAAGAAAAAGGAGAGGTGGCGTTGGCACCTATTTCCAAAACCATAGAGGGCCACAGAGTTATTTACCTAATATTTAAAGGATATTTTTGTACAGGGGGCTTTGGTGCAGTAATATAAGAACCACGAGCGACAACAGTGTAAGTTTTGAAACCGTAAATGGTAACAATGCATATTTACCAAGGGAAATTTATCTAGGGGAATTTACCAAACCACAGTGGGATATTGGTGCAATAAACTTAATTTTAACCAAAAAGTAAAAAAAATAAAAATACTCAGACACAAAGATACTATATTTAATTCTTGACCTACATAAAAAAAAATGATACCGAGTACTTTAATATTTGGTGCATGGGAAAAGTGGTCCATCTAAACTGGAACCTTTAATTTACTCCGTTAATTTATTTTACTACAGAAAAAGCTTAAGATTGCAATATCAAAAGTGTCAGTTCAATGGGATTCTAGTGTTGGCAGCAGATAAGATAATAATCAAATTTCTAATCCAAAGTAAAAGCTTTTTTGTGGGGTTTAAGTCTCACTATTTTTTTACACTAAACAAAGATCTACTACAACTTAAAGTTCTTTTGTATTTTTTGCATTTTAAAATATTACCTCTAATTTATTTAAAAAGTGAATTGAAGTCACTCGATTAATTATTAAAAATACAAAATAAGATTTTTATAGTTTCAAGGGTGCTATAACGATATATGACGAGATGAATGATGTGTTTGAAAATAGAGGCCCGTTCTATGACATTGAGAACCATTGTCATGAGATGATCCGGGATTGCTTCGGTGTCCCGTTCGTAAAATTGACGGTTCCTACATCCCCTAACCTCCTGGTAAACCCCCCATCCCACCCCGACCGGAACACGTCTCCCTAGCCCCTTCAATTGCACCCCGCAAGTTGATTTTGACTTTGGAGTCAAAATTTGACTCCAAAGTCAAAATCAACTTGGGGGGTGCAATTGAAGGGAGTGGGGGGGAGGGGTGGGGGGTGTTTGGGTCGGGGTAGGGTGGGAGGGTTTACCAGGGGGTTAGAGGAAGTAGGAACCGTCAATTTTACGAACGGGGCACCGGAGTCCGGAGCACCCCCGGGTCATTCCATGACATTGATTCCCAATGTCATGGGAACCAAGGTGTTGAAAATATAACAATACTTTTGTGTTAAAGAAGGAAAGGGATTATTAGAATATATTCCTATATATGTTTCGTATCTATTAGTTTTGGTAGTTTTTTGTATAGTGATTTATTTCCTATTGTTGATAGTTTCCATATTAGGTCTCAGACTGTGAAAACCTATATATATATATATATATATATATGACATCTCTGTACATTGTAAACAATAAGATATAATAGAATTTCTCTCCGGTTCTAAATTCTTTCATGGTATCAGAGCCAAAACCCTAGAGGATTTCCGCGGCTATTTTTCACGATCGACCGGCATCGCGTCCATCGATCGGAATACTATTGATCCAACTTTGAGATCCAGCATATCGTTCGTGGCGAGAGCATCAAATCTGTGGAATGATATGATGGCCTGCTTCTCTGTGGTGAATGGACCAAGGGTTCAACAATTGAAACCGGGAATTGGCGGGGTGCAAATAGAAGAATCTTCCCATAGTGGAATATTATGGGAAGATAAAGAATTTGTGGGATGATCTTGCGGAGCTTGAACAATTCCCAGTATATGTACGTGCAAGAACGGCATGTGTGGTCTAAAGGAGAAGCTCGCGAAGATGCAAGAGAGGGAACGCTCCCATAAGTTTTTGATGGGCTTGAATGATGCCCGGTATGTGGTTCTGCGGTCGAATCCACTGGCACATGAACCTGTACCATATGTGGGAAGAATGTACAATATTCTTGTTTATGGTGAAACGACAAGAAACGCCACACACAAAGGAGAGAGTAGTAGTGAGGGTGCTTCCGTGTTCGCGGTAAAGAATAAGAGTAACACAAGAGAGCTTTTGTGTTCTCATTGTGGCAAATTAGGTCATGAGATTGATGCATGCTACAAGCTGATTGGGTACCTCGAGGGGTGGGTGTTCTGCGACTAGGCTGGAAGAGGAAGAGGAAACGACCGAGGAAGAGGCCGTGGTACTGGACAAGGTGGAGGACGGTCGACCGTTCATGGTGGACGAGGTGAAGTTCATGGTGTTCAAGGAGAGGAAAAGGGACCTTCACCGTGGCCCAATTTCGAGGATCAGACTCTAGAGGAGTGGAACGCTATTCATCACGCCCTTTCACTATCCCCCAGAGACACCAATCAGAAACTTACATATATTTCTATGTCACCACGTTAGATTATTGATACTGGTGCATCAAATCATATGAAAGGTGATCTTTCGTTATTGTACGATGTGGTGGGTGTGACCCCATGTGAAATTGTGTTACTTGATGAAAACAAGTAGTATCTGTTCAATTTGGAAAGGTTGATTTAACAATAACTTTGACATTGCAGAATGTGTTATTTGTTCCAACTTTGAATTGCCATTTGATTTTTATCTCACAGCTAACAAGGGATTTGAACTTTGAGGCAAAGTTCACCAATGATTTGTGCTTATTACACGACCTAAGTTTGAGGACAAGAATTGGTGTGGCTAGACATGAAGGAGGACTATACTATTTAGAGTTGGAGGAAAGAAGCATGGTGTGCAGTGCTACGAAGGAGAATTTGCTTGATCTTTGGCACAAGCGTCTAGGACATCCTTCTTCGCATGTTTTGTATTTAGTTTTCCCATCAGTTTTCATCAATCTACGAACACATTTGATATGGTGCATTGTGATTTATGGGGTCCTTATTGGATGCTGGGTTTGGATGGTTCTACAATGTTTTTGACTATTATATTGTGGATGATTTTTCTCACGTTGTGTGGGTATATTTGCTTGATTCTAAGCGTACTGTAGGAAGTGTTTTTAAGGAATTTTGTACCATGGTTGAATGTCAGTTTGGGAAGAAAATAAAGTGTGTTCGCATTGACAATGACACAGAATTCAAATGTTTCAATGAATATTTCCTGGAAAAAAGAATTGTTCGTGAGACATCTTGTGTGTCTACACCGTAGCAGAATGGAAGAGTGGAACACAAACATCGTCATATTCTAAATGTGGGTCGAGCTCTAAGATTTCAGGCAGGGCTTCCGATTGAGTTTTAGGGAGTTTGTATACAAACTGTGGCATATATGATCAACCGCACACCCTCTTCACTGCTGGGGGGTTACACTGTATGAGAAGCTTTATAGAAGGGCCCCCGCACTAACTCACATTCGTATTTTTAGTTGCAGATGTTATGTTCACAACTTGAAAAGGGGTGGAGATAAATTTGCACCCAGAAGTACTCCTGGAATATTTTTGGGTTACCCACAAGGAAAGAAGGGATGACACGTGTATTTCCCGGACACTAGGAAGATCAGTGTATCAGGGATGTTGTATTCTGTGAAAACATTTTTCCTTACTTGATTTCCACAGGTGAAACCTCAGATGAAGGTGGATTGAGTAGTTCCACCTCGATCGATTACTTTGAAAATGATGAAGAGATGCCAGTGGAAGAGCAGCTGGACCATTCCACAAGGAATGGTAGATCAGAGAAAAGTGGAGAAGCAGGCATGCTACAGGCAGTCGACCTGGTGGACCATCCTGATGTCCACAGTCGACCGAGAGGTAAAATGACGGGCTCTTGGGAGATGATCAAACGATCGATCGTGATGTGAAGGGTTGTCGACTGTCTTCGAGGTAGAATGTCAGTGATCAGGAACAACTTTAGACAGTCCATCCCATGGACCGTCCTACGGATGGTGATCAACTGTCACCTTTCAAGCAGGCAGTGGAGAATTTGGGACGTGGCCAGCGTGAGAAACATCCAAATGTGTGCCTTGCCGATTATGTTATCCATATAGCTGGTACATATGTTGGACAAAAATGCAAATATCCTCTCTTGTTGTATATCACTTACGAGAAGTTCTCTAACACACACAAGTGTTTTCTTAGCGCACTTGACGCTGAAGTGGAACCCATAAGTTTCAAGAAGGCATTCTAAGATGAATGATGGAGGAAGGCCATGCGAGAGGAGATTGATGCACTGGAGGCTAATGGGACATGGTCTCTTGTCTCCCCTCTGCGTCAAAATAAGCCTCTTGGTTGCAAATGGGTGTACAAAATCAAGCGCAAATCCGATGGGAGTGTGGAGAGGTACAAGGCCAGACTGTTATACTTGGCAATCATCAGGTTGAAGGATTTGACTACAAGGAAACATTTTCTCCTGTGGTCAAATTAACTACATTAAGGACTCTTCTAGTAGTTGCAGCTGTGAAAGGATAAGAGTTGCATCAGATTAATGTGCACAATGCGTTTTTACATGGGGATATTGAGGATGAGGTATACATGAGATTGCCACCAGGTTTTTCAAATTCTTCTAATGTGGTGTGCAAATTGCAGAAATCTTCTTATGGTTTAAAACAAGCTCCAAGGTCTTGGTTTGCAAAGTGGAGCTTTGAAACATTATGGGTTTGTCCAGTCCGTTCTTGATTACTCCTTATTTTATTTTGTTGGAAAGAAAGGAGTAATACATGTTTTGGTTTATGTTGATGACTTGATTATTGCCGGAGATGATACACAGATGGTGAGTAAGTTCAAAGCATACCTGGCAGATTGTTTTAATATGAAGGACTTCGGAACACTAAAATTATTTCTTGGAATTGAGGTGGCGAAGAGCACGTCTGGGATTTTTCTCTACCAACGGAAGTACGCTTTGGATATTATTACTGAGGCAGGATCGTTAGGTGTCAGTCTCTTGGGTGCACCCATGGAGCCGAATCATCATTTGGCTAGTTCCAAAGCTCTTGTTCTGGCGGATCCAAAACCATGTGCCTACTACACATCAGCTTGTAGATATTCATACGAAGGCACTTGGGAAGTCACGGCTGGAATTTCTTATTCCCAAGTTGGGCACTTCTTTGTTGCATGCTCCAACTTGATGGGGGTGTGAAAAAAGGAAACAGATTATTAGAGTATATTGCCATATATTTTTTGTATATATTACTTTTGGTAGTTTCCTTGTATTATAGTGATTTGTTTTCTATTGTTGATAGTTTCCATTTTAGGTCTCAGGAGAACCTATATATATGACATCTCTGTATATTGTAAACAATAAGAAATACAAGAGAATTTCTCCCCAATTCTAAATTCTTTCATTTTGTGTGATTTTTTTTATCTTTCACTATACATAAATCTTACTTTCAAGTATATTACTATCTTCGTCTTTAAATATTTGTCTAGTTTTAAGTTTTTGTAGTCAATGATTTTCGACTTTTGACCTATAATTTTTTGGTTATTTTAGTGTCATTGGCTATTTTATATGATTTGATTTACTTAGAGTACACAAGAATTTGAATTGATGTTGTCAAACGAGTTAAGAGGTGTGTGGAGTGCGCATTCGTTCAACAATATTACAAATTCATACTGGGGTTCGAGGTGGTGCACGTGAACCAGTACCAAAACCGAATATTATTCTCATTGTATTGTGTGGCTTGCCCTTAGAATATGCCTCAATCAAACAAAATGTTTGCACAAATATTGCGAGTCTCACTTTTAACCCGGTTTTCTCTTCTTTACTGTATGAAGAACTTAATATTCAAATAGAGCAGAAGTTGCAACTTAGTTCTTCGAGCTCGTCCAATGATGTGTATACGGACCTATATACTGCACCTAACGTGAGGAAAATCGACAGGGCCGGTTTCGTGGTTCATTCCATAGTAACCATGGAGAAGGACGAAGTAATGGCAGCAGAGGGCAGAAGCAATAGTGATGGAGGTTAGTTTCCGCAAAACCGTACTAACGGCCGAGGGCATGGACCATCACGTGATGGACCTCTTATTTTCCAAATTCGTGGGAGATTTAATCATGGTGCATGGCAGTGCTCGAAATGCTATGGTGAAGACTTCTCTTTCCCTCCCTCACAACCTCCCAATGCTCAAGCTAGTTTTGTACACTACATATCCTATTGATTTAACTCAAAACTAGCACCTAGACACTGGTGCAACTACTAATAATGTGACTTCTAATTTATCAAGGTTGTATAATCCTACTTCATATCAAGCCTCAAATTCTTTCTCTAATGATAAGGGGCAATCTCTTCCTATATCTTTTATAAGCTCAGGATAGGTCTACCCCTTCAGGTATCTTTACCATCTCTAATCTCTTCCATGCTTCTGACTTGTAAACTCATGCATCTCTTATCCGTTCACCAATCTACCACAGACAATAACTATTTTAGTCTTTTTAACTCTAAGAAATTTATGATCATGGATAATCCTACATACAAAGTGATATACAAAGGCCCATATGAGCGGAGTTTATACACCTTACCAGCCATGCCTAGTCGTCTTTCATCAGTTGCCCATGTTCATTGTTCGTCCGTGTCTCCTGCCGCGTCTCCACTAGTGGCTGACTCTGTAAAGGCAACATTTAATCAGTGGCACTGTAGGCTTGGTCATCCATCGTTTCAAGTTACAAAATTGTGGTTTAGTCAGTTAGGGGTTTATCTAGAGTCTGATGTTTTTTAGAGTGATCTTTTCTCCATGTCTAAGTCCCATAAATTACCTTTTTTATTATCTACTTTTATTACTAGTGCACCATTTCAATAAATACATTCTAACGTTTGAGGCCCTACCCTTATTTCTTCTTTTGGTGGTTATCATTTTTACATCAACTTTGTGGGTGATTTTACAAAGTTTTGTTGGTTGTACACTCTTAAAAATACATATGATGTTTTCCTCATCTTTCAAAGTTTTCATATTATGATTAGAAATCAATTCGGCGCAACCATTAAAAGTTTTTGAACTAATCATGGTTGAGAATATATGAATTGTCACTTTGGTCTCTTTTTGTAAGAATTGGGGGTCCTTCACCATAAGTCTTGCCCATATAGACATGAACAGAATAGGATAGTTGAACGTAAGCATTGCAATCTCATTGAAAATAGTCACCCTTTTTTGTTATACGTCTCACAAAGAATCATGTGTACCACAAACGTATGAAGCATGTAGGTACAAATTATCACTTTGTTAGAGAATAAGTTATTCCTTGTACTATGGGTGTATCTCATGTTTTCTCTGAAGATCAGATCAATTGACTGATTTGCTGACCAAGCCACTGCCAATCAAAGTCGTGTTTTCAATCTCTTGTCTCCAAACTTTTGTTCGTTACACGATGCTCATCAGCTTAAAGGGAAATGTTAAACAACTAACTATGGTCAATACTAATTACTAATTATGGTAGATTTTGTACTTTGATCAGTTTCTATTATTGTTTTCCTAGTTGTAATTGGAATTATATTCCCTCTCTATATACTCTACCTTGTATTCATTATGAGTAATTTCCCAATGAAGGATCATTGGTCATTATCTATTAGTCATTATTCAACTAAATGTCTAGCATCACTTGGACATTATTTTTTTCACTAGTCATTATTAAGTCTTATTTAGTGAATAAAAAAATTTAAGCCCTACATTGAAAAATAACTTATGTTTTAATCTTATTCATTGCAATTTGCATATTCATTATTCCTTGAATAATTCAATAATTCTCTTATCTCAATAGGATTAGGTATGTAGTCCTAAGATTGCCCTAGTATCATTAGGTGTGGAGCACTAACTTAACTTTTGGCATGAGAGTGTGGGTGTTGTTTAGTACACTCTACACACTACAATATAAAAATGCTAAGTGCTTCGCAACTAATTAGGCATATATTGTCCATATATAAAACCTAGCTAGACCTACACTAAACTCCACTTCATTTCCCTCATCAAGCTGTTGACTTGTTTTTCTCAATTAATTAAACTCCGATCCCATTCTCTTTCATTCTCTAATTAAAAAAATTAAATCATCACCGTACCCATAATTAATGTTATTAGCCATGATGAGAGCTTTATTCCAATGCCAAGGCCAAAAAACCCTCCAAACCGCCATTCTCGCCGTGGAAATTCTCCTCCTCCCGCCGGGCCTCGTCTCCACCTTCCTCATGCTCCGGCGGGCCGCCGCCCACCTCCGCCTCCTCCTCCCCGGCGGCGAGCACTGGGCTCGCCGGGTCAGGCTGTCGCCGTCGCCGCCGCCGCTCTTCATGTGCGTCTTCGTCAACTCCATTGTCATCCTCATCTTGCTCACCTCTTCCAAACTCCACCGCCGCCGCCGGAAAAATGACAGCCTCTTCGACCTTTTCTCTTACGATGCCGGCGACCCGGCGGCGGTTGGCCTCCCGTCGGGAACTGTGTCGTCACCTCCCGCGGCGGCTCTAACTGTTACACTTGGTAAGTGAGTCTCATGTCTTAACTATGCTTAGTTGGATAAAAAATTTATAAGACTCCGTTACTCCGTACAGTCCGTAGTATATTACCTCCATAACTATTTCTCTTGTTTTGATTTTTTTAACAAGTATTTTTAGACTTTGACTATTAATTAAATAAAACATATATTATATATTAATAGAAAATATATTTTTTGAAAATTTTTTATATAATAAATCTAATAAACTTATTTTTGTATCAGTTTTCAATATCACTTTTATTTAATTTTAAGTCAAAATTTAACAATTTTAACTAAAGAAAGTTAAAAGTTGACAAATATATTCAAGAACGAAGGGAGTATTAATTAGAAAAAAATATTTTACAAGATAAAAACAATAATTAATTTTTATGGTTAAATATATTTTTGGTCTCTGTAAAATAGACAATTTTTTTAGTCCGATTCCTGTATTTTTTTGTTAAGTCATTCTTACAAAAATTTTTTATTTTTAAAATGATTTTTAGACATAATTTTCACTTCTAGTTTGTTGAGATAATTTGCACTTCTAATTTTACATTTTGATTAGCGGAGACACGATTCTCATGCAATAGGTCATCTTTTTCATCAAATTACATCTCCGTTATCCAAAATTTATCATACTATTTTACTAAAAATGGGAATTTGGATATGTAATATAAATAAAGATACAATTTAGAGCATGAAAATTGTATCGGAGATAGTAGAAATGCAAGAATAGATATTTTGTACGAAATAAATGTGATATATCAACAAATTAGAAGTGTAAATTATGTTTAAGGACTATTTTCAAAATAAAAAAATTTATAAGGATGAGTTAACATTTTTTATAGAGACAAAAATGAAAGGTACTTATTTTACAGGGACCAAAAATATATTTAATCCTTATTTTTATATTGATATCTAATACTCCCTCTGTTTGCAAAAAAGATTCATACTTTGACTTAGAGCCAAAATAAGGAAGTGTAAAATTATAGTTGACTTCCAATTTTGCCCCTGATGTGATGGGTAAAAGTAAGATGTGATGGATAGATTATTAGAGAAAAAATATGATGTGATAGGTAGGGTATGAAAAAGTAAGGGTAAAAGTGGATTTTTAATAGAAAGAGGAAGTGTTTTGTTGTAAATGAAAAAAATGAAAGAGGAAGTGTTTTAGAATACGGAAGAAGTATTATTTTTGTTTATTAGTTTTTTATCAAAGATTACTAACTTTGACTGCAAAATTTAAAATTGTACAAATATCCATTTTTTCTTTCTATTCCTCCGCCATTTTACTAAAAAACAAATAAGTTATCATAAAATTCACTAATTTAAATTTGTCATTTGTGATCAATTTCACTCTTTAAACTCGTTTACAAGTATTTTCTAACTTTTCAAGTATTTTTCAACAACGGCCTAAAAAACTATTTACATTTGATGAATATACGATTGCATCATATATCCAAATTTATAACATGTCATATCATTATATCAAATACGAACAATGATTAATCTTTTTTATTCAAAATTAGTTTTCTTACATACTCTCTTCGTTCCCAAAAGATTGTCACAGTTGAACTTTTTTGGTCAAACTACCCTTTGACCATGAATTAAATACCGTTTAAAATAATCAATATTTTAAAATTTGATATTCAAAACTACATTTTAAAATAAACCTAATTTTACTAGCTAAATTTACATTATAACTAAATATACTTTTCCAAAATTCACAGTCAAAGAGTATCATAGTTTGACCAAAAAAATTAAATCGTGATAATCTTTTAGGAACGGAGGAAGTATTTATTTGGGTGACCTTTTTACATTTTATTTTTTCTAATATTTATTAAGTCCTTTCCTAAGTCCTCTCAGTTTCTTTCAACTCCTTTCATTTTATTCTAACTCCTTTCAATTTTTTACAACATCTAACCTTAGAATTCAACCGAAAAGAACAACCCTTAAGTGAAGTGTACAAGTTTGCATACTTTGTACTCTTTAAGGTTTTTGTTTGTGTCTCTATAATTTTTTTAAACAATAATAAATCTATTATATAAGGTAGTATGTGTTCATATATTCTTAATTATTTAAAGTACATATACACCAATTGTCCTCATTGGGATTCGAATATGCAACGAGACCTTTCATTTAAAAGATGACTCTAGCATATATTTCCTCAGCTCATTGAAAGACCTTGTGTCATAACAAAGTAAATTAAGTAATGGTAATAATTAACATTATAGCAATAAAAATTTTTAAAAAATCAAATTCATAGTAAAACTATTATCTTCAAAATAGAAGTGACATTTTTTATTTAAAAACAATATTATTGCACAGTGATAATGTGCATGACACTGCATCTGGATATTCCATTTTTTGGTATTACACACACACACACACACATATATATATATATATATGTTGATATTATTAACATTATAAGTCTTATCTTTAACTCCTATTTTGATTCTATTCCTATATTGGTACTGCATATTTTTTGCATGGGGTTATGGTCTGTGATGGACCTTCAAAAATGGACATTTGTTTACTAATGATACACGGAGGAAGCTAAGTGTTTTTGTAGTTAAAAAAATAAATTAATAAGAATTTTTGTGAAAAACTTTATGGAACTTCTCATAATAATTAATGATAATATACTCGTTAAATGCAAAATATATAAGTTGTACTCCTTATATTTTTCTTTTTGTCATTTCTATAATAAGAATTGTATTTTTGTGGTTCTAATATCCAAATGTAAAATGTGAACTTCTAAACATATTTTATGGCCTCGATCACAAGTGAGTTATATTACGGAGTATTTCATATTCATATATATTAGGAAATAAAAAAGTTTAAGTTCTACATTAGAAAATGATTTATGTTTTAGTCCTATTCAGTGCAAATTTTACTATATATTAAGGTCTATAAAAACAGTGTGTACCTAAAAAGTACATAAAAAATTGTTGTATAATAAACTTTACATTTTTTTCGTTTAAAAAAAGAGGCAATAATCGGCTCACTAATATTTATTTATTGTCAAAATAAATTTTAATAAAAAATATTACAATAGTTGAGTAGTTTAGTTATGGAACTAAGGGTTACATAGATCTTCTCAGACACATTTTTAATATACTTTTTTTAATAGGGAGTATAATGTAATTACGCAATTATCTCAATGGTAAGTAAATGATTATTTTGTCATAATACTTAGTTGACTAGGCAACAATTCCTTTAAGAAAAAGAAACACCATATCTTTTCTTTGGATCCAAATCATTGTTAGCCGAAAATGTTTAAATTGTCTCCACTTTGTAAAAGTTTTACCAAAATTCACTCATTCGATAGTAGCACGTTAAGAGTAGAATTCGATACTTTGTGCTTAAATAAATATTTTCACTGCACGTGTATTTTACATGCAGGAAAAATTATAAATCATCAAAGAATAAATATTTAGGTTTTCAAAAATAATTATTTTAGAGTTTTAAGTAATTTTTAGATATGTAGAACATTTTTTTAAATAATGTAAATAATTTAAATATGTACTTTAGAAAAAAAGTGAAATGGCAACATGCTTTGATTAAAATTAAAACTCATTTAGAAAGAAGAGTTTATCCACTAAAAAAGAGTAATATGGACATAAATTCTTAGTCCCAATGTTTGTCCACTTGGACTTTTTTTAGTCAAATTGGATAACTTTAAGCTTTAATTAAAAAAATGTAATGTACAAAAATGATTTTATTAGATTTATCTTGCTATTAACTTTAAAATTTGTATTCCACTACATTTATATGCAATGTAATTCCAGATTGAAGTTCGTTCAGTATAACTTGAAAAAGTCAAACAAGACAAATAGGGATGGATGTATTAATTACTCTGTAATATATTATAACTTTATTTTTATCATATTATATTCATATCAAAATACATGATTTTGTAATCAAACTATTTTGGCAAGTTGTTCATGCCAGAACCGAGTTCGATCGAGTTTGACCATTTTAGTAGCTAGGTCATTTCGAGTTTGTTTATCTCTGGATTCCGTCAATAAAATTTTTGTACAAATCCAAATATATTTGGGGCTGGTGTTGATTCGGAAAAAAGTCTGGTCAATTTTTGCCATGTCTTGTTTAAAGAATCTTTGGTTGCGAGGGAGGAGATAAAAAGTGAACCCTTTCCATTTTCTTTGGTTTAAAGTTTTGGAAGGATCCAAATCGATCGTTAGTATTCAAGTCCATACTCATTTAGTTTTATGAACTTTAGTTTAAAAATATCATATAAGAGATGTGTTTTTCGTAACTAAGAAAAGGTTCACAATTCAGATGTAAGCATATAAAAGTGTGAAAGGATCCACACTACATTTCTCATGTAAAGACCTTAGAACTACGGAAGCACAACTTACTCATTCTGTAACTACGATCGAGTATGTTTGTTTAATTTTTTTTATTTTGGGGCAGTGAGAGCATTGCATTTCCAATATCATTTAACAAATAATTAGTTATGGAGTAATCAAAAAAAAGTTTAGAGAACAAACATATGTCATGTATAGAGAAAAAAAGTCTAGGATAATTTTACCTAAATAGGACTAAAACATAATAACTTTCTTAATATAGAACAATATAATTTTTTATTTCCCAATGTAGGACCATTGGTTATTATTCATTAGTCATTATTCAAGTAAATATCTACCAACACTGAATATTTATTCCTCTGTCCCTTAATATTTGCAACATTTGCTTTTTCAGCAGTCGCGGGAACTTTTGTTTATTTCTACGTTTTCATTGGTTATTTGATAAAATAAAATATTCTTGACACCTCTTATTTCGAAGAACTTTTCATGTAGTTTTTTTATATGTAAATTTTATTTTTTATTTCTATACCAATATGTAAATAAAATGAATTGAAAAAACTTGATATTTTACCTCGATCGGGAATACAAGTGTGACAAATATTTAGGGACGGATGGAATAAAAAAAGTTTGAATCCTACATTGGAAAATGACTTATGTTTTAGTCCTATTTAATACAAATTTCACAAAAAGTCTATATATACTATGTTCGCCCTAGAATATTGATCTAGTTTGATTTTTTTTTTGAATTATATATACTTGACAAACATTGATCATCAACCAAAGAAAATTTATATTGTATATTACTACAAAATTTAATTTATTGGATTCGTCTTAAATAACACTTTATAAATTTATTTATTGTATTAATATACAGTGCAAAAAATACTCGGGAAAAAAGAGAAAAAATGATAAATATTGTATTAAATTTGTCTATTTTAACTTGAAAAATAAAATGATTTTAAATGAGGAGAAATATAAATTTAAAAAAGACATATCTAGTTAAGAATTTGGCGCCATCGTTTTTTATGACTCTAGGATTATTTGTTAAGGAATTTACGTAAATAGCACTAAAACATAATGATTTTTCCTAAATAGCACTACATGTGTTTTTTTCCTAATGTAGCACTTTTAGTCATTATCCATTAGTCATTATTCAAGTAAATTTTTGCCATCTCTGATCATTATGGACATTAATTATTAAGTGCTATTTATGGAAAAAATCAGCTTAAGTGCTATTTAGAGAAATGACTTAAGTTTTAGTGGTATTTAGTTTCTAAATGTACATGCTTGGTCAAATGAGGCCCCGGCGGCAAATTTTGACTCCAAAGTCAAAATTAACTTGTGAGGTGTAATTGAAGGGGGTGGGGGTGTTTTCGGGTTGGGACGTGGTGGGGAGGTTTACCGGGGAGTTAGGTGGTAGGAACCGTCAATTTTACGAACGGGACACCAGAGCACTCCCGGGTCTTTACATGACATTGTCAGGCAATGTCATAGGAACCGTCCCCTAAGTGACATTATAAAATCTATTTTGATATAAAAATATTAAAAGCATTGTTTTTTGGTATATTAAAAAAACGTTGCATTTAAAGTGTGTGCATGCATGCATTAATAATAACATCCATTTTCGTGTGATGAGATTATCAAGACCACAACGACAACAATGGAAGGAGCTTATTAAGGGACGATGAAGATCACATAACAAAGGAGAACCTCAACGAGCCCTGCCGCGACACAATCGAGGCGACATGGGCGGCGATCCACTGCGGCGGTGGCGGAGACAACAAATTCAAGAAAAGCGGGACGTGGCCGAAACCGCCCCCGCAGCCTCAGACAGCAGAACATGACACATTTAATGCCCTTCCGCCGTCTGTAGCGGCGGCGGCAGCAAAATCACCAACGTCTGTGGTGCCGGCGACAAAATCACCGTCACCAATGGCGGTGGCGAAAAATTCGCCGCAGCCATCTGTGGCGGCAGTTGGTGTAAAGTCGCCGCCATCTGTGGTGACGGCGACGGCAAAGTCGCTGCCATCTGTGGCGACGGCGATGGCAAAGTCACTGCCATCTGTGGCGGCGGCTGGTGTAAAGTCGCCGCCATATGTGGCTGCGGCGACGGCAAAGTCGCTGCCATCTGTGGTGGCAGCGGCAAAGTCACCGACATCCGTGGCGGCAAGAAAGGAGAAAGAATTGAGAAAATCGACGACATTTACGGATGCCGTGCCGGCGACGTCCCGGCGAGGCGGGGACGGCGGCGGGGTGCGGGGCCCGGAGGAGCTGGACAAGAGGTTCGAAGAGTTCATACGCAACTTCAATCATGAGTTGAGGCTGGAAAGGCAAGACTCGGAGGAGCGGTTTTGGGAGAGAATAAAGCGCGGACTTAATTAATTAATTACTACACTATTAAGGTGCGTTTTGATGGGAATCATATGGTCTAATTATCAATGTATCTTCCTAAATCCAAACGTGGTATTATTTAGATTCCATTTTAAGTAGCGATTAAGGCCCCGTTTGGCATCAGCGTCAGAGATTAGCGTTAGCGTTTTGAAAAAGCTATCTGACGGCAACCTTTAGCGTTAGCTTTTTCTGAATTAATCTACACCGTTAATATTTTATCCAAAATGCTAATGCTAATTGAAAACGCTCTTCCCAAACAAGGCCTAACTATATGCATGCATCATTTGTTAAATGTTACTGTTTGTCCTGAAAACTTTTCTCTTTTCTTTTTTCATTTATCCGAAAAAACTTTTTTTATTTTTATTTAATTCATTTTTATCTCTTATATTTCGATCTTAACTTACTTATCACATCACATATATTCATGATTAATCTACCTATCATGTTGTATTTTTACTCATCACATCCAAAGATATTTTAGAATTTCAACACCAAAATACATTTGAGAAAGTTATCTAAATAGGACTAAAACATAATGACTTTCCCAATATAGGACCATATTCCCTCCGTCTCAAAAAGATTTACACGTTTCAAAAAAATTGCGTCCCACAATCCCTTACTCATTTCTATTAAAAAAGCACTTTTACCCCTTACTTTTTCAAACCCTACCTATCACATCATACCTTTTTCCTAATAATCTACGCATCACATCATACTTTTACCCATCACATGAAGGGTATTTTTGGAAAGTCAACACAAAATTATCTCTCCCTTAATTTCTACTTTAGTCAAAACGTACCCATCTTTATGGGACGGAGGGAGTATGTTTTTATTTCCCAATGTAGGACCTTTGGTCATTATCAAGTAGTCATTATTCCAACATACATTGAGACCTTTAGATCTCTTAAAAATCAAAATCCATTATAAGTTTGCACTGTAATAATGTGACTTTATGTATTGGTATTTCAGAGTGTTTTTTGATATTATATGTTCATATTATTAATATTGTAACTTCTACAATGCAATAAAAACATTAAACTTCTATTTTCATACTTTTTCTATTATTATTCCTAATTTATTTTTCCCTTATTAAAATGAGGTTGCACACCGCAACATGACAAGCTTTGATTGCTGTTTGGAATTCTGACTATTAATATTTATATATAAATATATTACTATGGTTGTTTTGATCTTAGAAAAAATGTAATTGGGCACCTATAGTACTCCGTAGATAAATTTGATAGTTCATACACCCTCCGTCCCAAAAAGATTTTCACGTTTCAAAAAAATTGCGTCCCACAATCCCTTAGCCATTTCTATTAAAAAACCACTTTTACCCCTTACTTTTTCAAACTTTACCTATCACATCATACCTTTTTCCTAATAATCTACACATTACATCCTACTTTTACCCATCACATCAAGGATATTTTTGGAAAGTCAACACAAAATTATCACTCCCTTAATTTCAACTTTAGTCAAAATGGGTAATACTTTATGGGACGGAGGTAGGGAGTACTTCATACTCCTCTAATACCCTCCTAAACCACACCCACTCCCCCTCCCTTAGCTTACCTGGCAGTAAATCGTGGTTACTGCGTGTAATATATTGTCAAGAAAGGGAGGGAAAGCGGCAGAGATTGGGGAGATTAGAGGTAGTAATCATCGATCAATTTTACCAACGAACTACTACGTTTTAATACGAAATCTAGCTAGCCTCTATAGGTAGTAATCATCGATCATTATTAGTCGGTATTGAAATACCCTTAAGATGAGGTTAATCTTGATTATGGTCGATTAAGCTACAAAAGAGGCTTATTCATACCGGCCCCGGCCATAATAATTCCAGAACATGAAGTGACAAGTACACACACATCAGTTGACTTAATGCATTTTGTTTCAATTTGTGTTGTTGTCACTTTATATATATATATATATATATATATATATATATATATATATATATATTTTGGATCAGGTGAGAATGCAATCTTATGAAAAAAAATAAGAATGAATATGGTGCTTTAGATTGTGAGATCTAAGGGTCAAGATTGCATCAAAATTAGGTGCACCAAAATGATTTGAAAATGCATCATGTCGAAATGCACCAAAATCCTTTAAAAATGCACTATCTCAAAATCTGAGTGCAGGATGCAATCTGAGCCGCACGATGCATCAGATCCAAAGGCTAGATTTTATTCTTATTTCTTTCATCAAGGTGCATTCTCTCCTGAACCGCCCCCTATATATATATATATATATATATATATATATATATATATATATATATATATATATATATATATATATATATATATATATATATAATTCAATAATGACTCGAGCACCTACGATACTCCGTTGGTAAAATTAATATGAGTAGTTTCTACCTTTCAAACCCCCATCCTAAACCCCTGCCCCAACCACCCTGACAGTATATGTGGTGTGATACAGAAGATGTTATGGTACCTCATAAAACATTCATCTAGGTAACTTGTGTTGAAGAGTTTTTTTTTGGTATGTTTGTTCAGTTTGTTTTGATAGTGCAAATAAGTTCAAATGTTATTAGTAATTACTTGCTTCTATAATTATTATTCTACTATATAATTAGGATACCCTATTTATTTTCTATATATACAGATGGAATTCTCGTTATTGAATGAAATCAATTATTATCTAATATATTATCGAAGTTGTGAATTTCTTTGTTTATGTTACTCCGTATTTAATTAGCAGAATGGAAGATTCCAATATATAATTGATGGAACAAAAGGTACTATAAAAAGAAAGATGTCATATATAGTCCCTTGTCAAATGTAGATTCACTTGGCTTGTTTTATTACAATGATATGAATCACAATCATATACATATATCGAAGTTGCTATGCATGCATGTGTTTGGGTTTGGGTTGGTGGATTTGACAACAAAGTGAGCTAATTGATTGAATCCTTAGCCCCACTTTTTAAATTTTATTCTTCTCAAATTTTTCTTAGTTTTTTCGTGTTATCTCGGTCCTAATTTATTTGTATAGTTTGATCTTTAAAATCAAATTGAATAAATTTTAAATCTGAATTAAATAAAAAAATGTAATGTGCATTGGTATAAAAATGATTGTATTCGATATAGATTTTTTCATATTGAGGATTTTCAAAGTTTCATTGGATCAACTCATTATATTAATACATTATTCAAATAGAGAGTAATTGATATTCAGGCCAAAGTTTGGAAAAAATAAGACTGAAGCAAAAATATAGACGAAGAAAGTAATAAAATTTTGGCATTTTTAATTCAAAAAAGGAATAGAAGAGATTCGGAACAGTTCATATATATTCGTTTTCGATGAACAATTACCGAAGGGAGAGACTTTTAGTTACTTATAATGCTTTATGCTTCACATGCTAGTTTAAAAGTTTAGTAGTAAACATTGGTATTATTTTAAAGAAATATTCCTGAATAGGAGTAAAAAAGTATTAAAATACCAAAATAGAAGTTCCAAGTCTGATGGTGTAAATATAGCTGGGTGGGTTAACCGGGTTTAACCTGGACACTTGACCCGTAATATAAAACACACAACAAGAACACAAAGTATGACCTAGACCGGGCAAATCTCCTCAGTCCGAAATATATTTCTTACTCTGTCTCAAGAGTGTACTAGTTTTTAGTGAGAGAAAGAATAGATCCCCTCCTCTATCCAATATCATCATATTTATAGAGGAGGATTTGTGACCTTCCCCTGTTCATCCATGGACAAAATGGGAAACCCGGAGGAAGGTCACTGTACATAATCAATTTACTATTCAATCAATGAATATAGCAACTACAAGCCAAGACATGCACTGTTCAATCAAAGACTAACATGGATATTCTCAATCCAATCAATCCTGCAAAACGCCAATCATTCCCTTCACTGTTTGCCTCGTGATGGATGAGCGGCGGGGTGTCCTCTAGCCTCTGATGTTGATTGCCCTCCTCAAGTAGCGCAACATGACCGGTCACCTTTCCTCAAAGGTTACCCGGTCATTTCTTGAGTTCAACCCATCTCTTTGGTCCTCTGGAATATCCTTCGCAACATTAAGTGGCGAAATGGCTATCGCCCAAAATGTGACCGGTCACTTTTTTAGTGGAAGTGACCGGTCAATTTTTGACCCGTCCCAATCGAAGAGTTAACATCATTTGGTGACTTGATAAAAGTGACCGGTCATGTTTTGACCTGTCCCTT